TTACCAATTTCTGACCGCTTTATTGGATACTTGAAATCGGTAAATGGGTGGTTTCTTGTACTCATTTGACAGAAAAAAATGAAGTTCTAGCGAAATAGATATGATTTTTGTTGACTAGTACACTGAAATTGGCCAAAAATAGGGCTCAAAGTGGGCAAAATCACCGATGCCTAAACATCGTTGAGACCGCTAACTTTGCGAGAGCATAATTCCGTAAGTTTTCCATCAAATTTCAAATTTTTCTTGTCATTATGATCAGGAAAAGATTCTCTATCATTTCATAAGAATTTTTTTTTTTTTTTCCGAAAAATTTTCGACCCTGAGAACGAGTTTAGGAGAGGGCCTCTCGACCCTGAAAGGGTTAAGTGTGATGTTAAATGTTCATTTATCTATTTTATTAGTGCTTTATATTTGTCATTTTTTTGTATGTAAATCTATATTTAATCTTTTAAAAAAATTTATTTTTTGTTAATTTAATACTTTTGGGTGTCTGAAATGGATTAATTAGATTTCCATTACAGTGGACCCCCGGATTAAGTCATCATCAGAATAAGTAATATTCAGAATAAGTAACGTTTTCTCGTCAAAATATTGGCTCGGTAAACGTCACCGAACTCGGTATAAGTCATTCGTCTGGAACGTGTCCACGTGGTCTGAGTAGCCCCAACACTCCATGTAGAGCCAGTGTAACATTGTTTACCAGCCAGTGAGGATGATTCCACTCATTCATACGATAAATTTTGTATTATTCTATTCTTTTTAGTGCTTCAAACTGCTAAATAAGCCACCAGGCCCAAAGAAAGCTTCTAGTGCCAGCCAGCCCTTTGGTAAAGAGCTGAGAGAGAAAGAGGAGAATGTGCTTTTCAGTGATTCTGCAATACATACGATACTAAAGCAGGAAGAGTCGATAAAGGCTACAGCACCAGCCAGCAATAGAGTGCAGCATTAACAGTGTAGCAAGTAAGATAAGCAGTTAATCGATAGAAAAAGGACAGCACGAAACTGACCCCCCCACTATTGTTGGAGGTATACAGGGCTACTGACTAACACCGCTGCCTCTGCTGTCGCCTTCACCACAACTATGTATGGCTTATCTTTCAGTGGCCCTTATACACTCAACAACAAACAACACACCATCACTTGTGACATTCTCAATGCCATATTTTATTCATTCTAGAGTATATATCATGTCTCTATGTTATTAATATTGTTTATTATGTCATATTAGATAAATTGTGCTAGATAAATAAGCCATTCTCCATAGGGAAGTGGAACAGAATTCTTCCTCCGTAAGCCATGTGTGTTGTAAAAGGCGACTAAAATGCCGGGAAGCAAGGAACTAGTAACTCCTTCTCCTGTATATATTACTAAATTTAAAAAGAGAAGCTTTCGTTTTTCTTTTTGGGCCACCCTGCCTTGGTGGGATACGGCCGGTTTGTTGAAAAAAAAAAAAAAAAAAAAAGCCATAGAGCTGATATTAGTGTCATATTGAAGGACTATCTTGCCCTGTCTCCCAACACTATTCCTAACATATGGCAGAAACAGACCTCTCTGAAACACTTTTTTGAGTGACGGGGAACCAGCGACTCTCAAGCTGGCCCTAGTGGCATTAACCCTTTCCGGGTCCATCCCATAGATCTACGGCTTTACGTTCAGGGTCCAAACCGTAGATCTATGCCAAAATTCTAGCGGCGTCAAATTTAGCGCGAGAAGGGTGGTAGGCCTACATCTGAGAGAATGGGTCTAGGTGGTCAGTGTGCACACCATAGAAAAAATCTGGAAGCCCGCATGGCAGTGTGGGAACGCCTGCAAAGTAGCTTTATTCATAGTGCCTGGCGGCAAGGAAGCTCTCACTCCCCACTCACTCTCCGGGCTAATTCTGAATCTCCTCTTCACAACTTACAGTTCTAAGACTGATGGAAGTGGAGCTGAAGACGAATTCTATGGTTTTGAACCATATGGCACCATTGTGCCATATGGTACAATGGTACCATATGGTACAATGGTGCCATGTCATACAATGGTATCATATGGTACAATGGTATCATATGGTACAATGGTATCATATGGTACCATATGGTACAATGTACCATATGGTACCCTGAGCCATATGGTACCCTGTACCATATGTTATCCTGTACTGCATGGTACCCTATACCATATAGTACAATAGAATATAGTACCGTGTACCATATGGTCAATAGGTGTTGGCGGCATGAGACACCAGCCAAGACTGAGTGAGTGGCGACATAAGCTAGCTACTGACTCAGCAGTTTCTGAGACAAAGCACTTTGTCATTCACCTCAAAGAACATGTGGAGTTCCTGTACATTTGTAAATATATAATAGATTACTAATATACAACATTTTTGCATATTTTTGTTGTAAATAACTATTGTAAACAAAATAATGAAAATATTAGTGTGTTTATTGTGTTGAATACAACAGTACCATATAGTACCATATGGTACAATGAACCATATGGTATCATTGCATTGTATGGTACAATGTATCATATGGTACCATTGCATCATATGGTACCATATGGTACCATTACACCATATGGTACCATAAGGTACCATTGCACCATATGGTACCATTGTATCATATGGTACCATTGTACCAAATGGTGCCATTGTACCATATGGTACCATTGTATCATATGGTACCATTGTATCATGTGCCATTGTACCACACTACCATATGGTACCATTGTATCATATGGTGCCATTGTACCATATGGTACAATTGCACCCTATGGTACAATTGCACCCTATGGTACAATTGCATGCTAAGGTACAATTGCACCCTATGGCACCACTGTACAATATGGTACTATATGGTACCATTGTGTTCAACACAACCGCACTAATACTTAAATCATTTTGTTTACAATAAACTTGTAAACAAATTTTGTCAGCAATATAATGATAAACAAATTAGTGCAGTTATTGTGTTGAATACAATGAGTGTACACTCATACAATATACATTATACTGGTCTCACAGGCCACAAATGTTATTAGAAAAAGAAAAAGATTAGAAATGAAAAGAAAAAGTATAAAAAACGTAAAATAAAAAAATGGGATTTTGCGGAAGTCACTGATGTTGCCGCCACCCGGTCATTTTGGGTCAACTTCCCGCTGCTGTATCTCGGTAAGTACTGATCAGAATTTTTGTTTTTTCTTATTACCTTCACAAAAATATACTCTTCAATTCTGCAAGAATTTTTTTTTTTTTTTTTTTTTTCAAAATTTCTTGGACACTGGAGCACCACTTCAGATTTTGGCCTTGGACCCTGAAGGGGTTAAAAAACAAAGGAGGGAAGTAACCCAGGATAAGTACTTGGTACCTGAAGTCTTTATGGAAGAGGATTCCCCTTCCAAACAATAGTAAACTCCTCCATCCTCTCGCCTCCTCCTGTCATCCATACATCACCATGTCCTCAATAAAGGTAAGTGTGATTTTATTGTTTTATTCTTCATGTATCATTGTTGTCTGTGTAGGTAAATGTATATTTCACTTAGAATTTTTTTTAATACTTTTGGGAGTCTGAAACAGATTAATTGGATTTCCATTATTTCTTATGGGGAAACTAATTCAGAATAAGGCAGATTTGGGATAAGTCACTCTTTCTGGAACAGATGAATTGCGTAATCCAGGGATTCATTGTATTTCTTATGGGGAAAATGGTTTTTGTCATTCATGAATTCCACCATTCAGCAGATTCTGTGGAACGGATTAATGTGTTGTTAGGTAAGACACATATGCAACAGTTAGGTATCTTTATTTCGAAACGTTTCGCCTACACAGTAGGCTTCTTCAGTCGAGTACAGAAAAGTTGATAGAAGCAGAAGATACTTGAAGACGATGTAATCAGTCCATCACCCTTAAAGTTTTGAGGTGGTCAGTCCCTCAGTCTGGAGAAGAGCATTGTTCCGTTGTCTGAAACAATATGAAGTTGAAGTGACAGGATGGAGCTTATATAGTGCCAGGAGGTGAGACATAGGTTGCTTTGGGAGGGCAGGTCTCTCTCAAACCCAGCCGTTCTCACTAGTAGAGGTTGTCGAAGTAGATGGTCTGTACCAAGATACCCTTGTGTTGCAGTGTCTGACAGAATGAACATTAAAATGGTATAAAATACCGACAGATTGTTAGGTAAGACACATATGCAACAGTTAGGTATCTTTATTTCGAAACGTTTCGCCTACACAGTAGGCTTCTTCAGTCGAGTACAGAAAAGCTGATAGAAGCAGAAGATACTTGAAGACGATGTAATCAGTCCATCACCCTTAAAGTTTTGAGGTGGTCAGTCCCTCAGTCTGGAGAAGAGCATTGTTCCGTTGTCTGAAACAATATGAAGTTGAAGTGACAGGATGGAGCTTATATAGTGCCAGGAGGTGAGACGTAGGTTGCTTTGGGAGGGCAGGTCCCTCTCAAACCCAGCCGTTCTCACTAGTAGAGGTTGTCGAAGTAGATGGTCTGTACCAAGATACCCTTGTGTTGCAGTGTCTGACAGAATGAACATTAAAATGGTATAAAATACCGACAGATTGTTAGGTAAGACACATATGCAACAGTTAGGTATCTTTATTTCGAAACGTTTCGCCTACACAGTAGGCTTCTTCAGTCGAGTACAGAAAAGTTGATAGAAGCAGAAGATACTTGAAGACGATGTAATCAGTCCATCACCCTTAAAGGAACGGATTAATCATGAAACTTGGGGGTTCACTGTACAGTGGTACCCCAAGTTTCGTACAGCTCGTAACTCAAGCAATTATGTAAGTGTATTATTGCAAGTGCTTTTGTAAGTGTATTTTTGGGGTCTGAAACAGACTAATCTAATTTACATTACTCCTTATGGGAACAAATTTGTTCGGTAACGGCACTTGGACAGCCTTCTGGAACGAATTATTTCCCAACTCTGGGTACCACTGTATAATGTAGTGATAACTTACATTCACAAGGTAGTTACTTCATATATAATGTAGTGATAACTTACCTTCACGAGGTACTTGGCATCCTCATCATTTTTGAGCCGAGGAACTTTCTCAAACTTGGGTTGAGTGGGCAGGACCTCATTGACTAGCTCAATAAGTTGACGAACACAGTTGACGGGGACGTCTACCAGGCAATGATTCAACGACTCTCCCAGTAACACTCTGATTACTCCCCATGTTTTCTGCATACATATAATTGATCATTAAAAATACATGCTGTATTATACATGAAATACTGAAAATAATGTATGAACTGAACATACAAACAAATGTTCACTTCACTTCCTTTAACCCGTAAACGGTCCAAACGTATATGTGAGGGAAAAGTTCAATAGATAGGAGTAGCGAGGGAGTACAGTGGACCCCCGCATAACGATCACCTCCGAATGCGACCAATTATGTAAGTGTATTTATGTAAGTGCGTTTGTACGTGAATGTTTGGGGTTCTGAAATGGACTAATCTACTTCACAATATTCCTTATGGGAACAAATTCGGTCAGTACTGGCACCAGAACATACTTCTGGAGTGAAAAAATATCGTTAACCGGGGGTCCACTGCATATAGTAACAATAGTTTCATTGCCGGCTACTTGTTAAGGTAGGGTAAGTCAAGCTCCCGCTATTCCCGCCTTTTTTCCCCCTCCCCGAAAGTGATAGTTTGCTTGCCGGCTACTTGTTAAGGTAAGGCAAGTCTAGCTCCCGCTATTCCCGCCTTTTTTCCCCCACCCCGAAAGTGATAGTTTGATTGTTGGCTGCTTGTTAAGGTAGGGTCAGTCTAGCTCCCGCTATCCCTTCCTCTCCTTCTTCCCCCCCCCCCTCGAAAGGTGACGTGTGGGGCTCCAGTCCAAACAGTAATCAATAGACTCACAGCTCCCAGAACTACTGTAAGTACATGCTTGCCTTGTATTCTAGTGGATTTATTGGTTAAAAGCTTCACTTTTGACCAATAATAAACTTAGTCCTTTCAGTCTTGCTCTAAGTTGACTGTTGTAATAATCACCACATCTTTTAGGTATTGTACTTATCATGGAGAGTGATTTCTTAAGCAGTGGGTAACCTGTCTATCTTTCCAGTTGGATGACGGGAGAGGGTCCCCTGCCAATAAACGAGTAGAACTGATGGAGATGACTAACGTCCTGAGATTTCCCCTTTTTGGATTTAATTACCTGTGCACCTGTATGAAATTGCAGGACGTAGCCCCTCATCATTGCAGCGGTAAAGAACCTGCTTTCCTATCATCGGGATAGAATACTCACAGCAATACTGTGAAGAATGAACCGGTGGGTTGTAACCAACACCTGCGACCTCCCCCTCCCATCATCAGCAACTGCTACGATTTCAACAACACTCAGTGTCACCAACACCAGACACCCCTATATATATTAGCGTTGAGTTCAAATGTTATTTTATTCATTTCATTTTTCATTTTTCTTTCAAATAGGATATACCTTTCATATTTTATTGTTTTATGTTTGCTTTAATAAATAATAAAGTGTTTATCTTTGTGAATTATTTCTTTTTCTATTCATTAATTTTCCTGAGGAGGAGCCAGCCTTGGTAATACTGTCTGAAGTTGTTACAGGGCTGAGTAAGACTTCACAAGTGGCGACTTGCCAGGATCAACTCGACTGAATCAAGATTCAACTCCATCTCGAATCTACCATTGGAACTTCAAACGCCGCATACCACAGACGGTTACACCAGCCATGAGTAATCATTCTCTATGGTAGGACTACAGTACAGGTATTTAAAAGGTTTGGTGATTGTTATAGCTCAATTTATTGAAAGTCAAGTCAAGGCAGGAATACTATTAATTCTGCCATCTATTTTTGTGTGAGCTTAAAAACACTTGGAGGATTAGACCTAGGACCCGAGATTTTCCAGTGACAATTTGTTTCATTGAGTCTTTATTTTATCAAGAGAACTGTCGTTGGACACTCTTGATTTTTTGGGTGAGAAGTTTGGGATGGTCAAGTGACCCCATTCAAATTACTGTTTGCTGGGAGCCAGCATAAAACCCCTTTCATTTTAATTAATACATAATGTTTAATTAAAGTAGGGATTGAGCCCTCTGATTTATTTACAGTTTGAGCGGAGCAGGAAAATTGAACCCTCCATTTTCTTTAAATTTACCGTTTCATTTTCCCCTGGTTTTTAAGTTATTCTTGCAAATATGGAGGAATACCAGTTTTGGATGAATGCTGGAAGTAAGTTAGGAATAACAGGGAAAATTTTAGAATCTTTCATTAGTGCTAAGATCCAGGAAAGACTTGAAAGAGAGAGAATTGAGAGAGAAGAAAGACAGAAAGGGAAAGAGAAGAGAAAAAGGAGAGAGAGAGAACTGAGAGAGAAATCCAAGAAAGACAGTTAGAAAGAGAGAAGACAAAAAGGAACGTGATAGACTTGATCGTGAGGAGAGAGCTAGAGTACGTGAGGAACAAGCTAAGATACGTGAGGAACAGGTTAAATTAAGAGAACTTGAGGAAAGAGCAAAGGATAGAGAAGTTGAGGAAAAAGCCAGAGAACATGAGTTAATAGAGAGAGAAAAGGATCTCAAGCTCGAAAAATCTCGCCTTGAATTAGAGAATAAAAAGTTAACTTTTACACAACAACAATTTGAGGAAGGAGTAATGGAACAACGTGCAGTCAGTACACATATTCCAACACCTAATTTACATCACTTCACAGAGGGGGAAGACATAACTTCATACATTATCAGGTTTGAAAATACCGCTACCCTCTGTGAATGGCCTGCTGACACCTGGACTACCAGGTTAGGAATGTTATTTTGGTACAGCCTTGAATATTATGAAACTTTGTCGCAGGATACCCATATGAAATTAAAACCCTACTGAAGAAGGCAATCCCTTTAAAGCATATCAAAAAACCACTAATTCTTACAGGAAAGATTTCAGGTATGCCACTTTACAGCCTGGCCAGAACTTTCAGCAGTTCAGGTTACACTCTTTCGTTTGTTCGAGTTTTGGATAGAGAGTTCGGGAAATGATTCGCAGTTATGAATCTCTTAGAGACTTCGGGGTTTTTAAACCAGTTCCTGACAGCTCTTCCCATCAGATACGAACATTCATCAGAGAACGTAACCTGATTAAAGCTGAGGAAGTTGCTGAGGCTGCTGACCTGTATGCTGAGGCTAAACAATTCCTATAAAGACCTAAAGGGATCGAACCCTAAGGGCAAGGGTTCATCAGACCTTAAGAAATCAAAGCCTCTAGTGGAAAGTAAAATGACTTCTTTTATTCCTGTTTGTCATTTGTGTGGTGTTAAGGGACATAAACGTCCAGATTGTCCTTCTAAGAAGGTCCAAAAAGTTGGAGGATGTTTTAAAGACTGGGAATGACCAAGCACCCCCTGTTCAGGAACAGTTAATGGACTTAATGTATCTACCATTTTACAAGACACTGGATGCACATGTATAGTCATTTCTGATAACACTGGATGCACATGTATAGTCATTTCTGATAAGCTGTTCCCTAATCTTAAAGAAACTCATTCCTCTGCTATACTTTCAGACTACCCTTTGGGGCCGTACAGACACTTTTTCCTACCATCCGTTGTTACACTAGGTCTAAATGGTTTACAGGATGGTCTGAAGCCGTACTAGCTCCCATCACTTCTTGCTCCGTACTAATAGGTAATGTAAAAGGTGCCATTCTTCCTTCTGAGGTTGACCTTTCATCACCAAAGGTGGACAAAAGCTTTTCAGATCCTCTTTCTGTAGAGTCAGAGAAGCCCCTCGAAAGTTCAGATGAGACAATGTCTCATGAGATTCATGTGGGATTAAAAACCAGTGATGCTACTCTCAAAAGTGAGGTAGTAGGATCACCGGTTCACTTGTTAGATGAAAGTGAAAATATCGCCTCCGATACCATAAATGTCTTGAAGACGGCTCAGACCAAAGCCCAGGCTTCTCCTACTGTCCATCCTTTGATTTTTCCCTGACTTTAAGCCTTTAGACATATCGAAGGACTCCTTTGTCAATTTACAACGTAATTGCCCTTCTCTTCAGAATTGCCATAATGCCGCTAAACAAAATCAAGTTATCCAAAGGAAAAACTTTTCATATAAATTTGAATATATAAAAGGTATCTTGTACAAGTCAGTATTCAAATTAAAATTCAGTTGAGACAGACTATTCCATCTTAGTTGTTCCCAAAATCAATGCAGAGAGACTGTTTTTTAAAATGGCTCATGACCTGCCAGTGGCCGGACATTCTTTGCTCGTTTAAAAAAATTAAATAAAATTAGGGAAAAACCCATTTTTGGCCAAAAATGTCCTCAGATGTCCTTTCCTATTGTAGATCGTGTAAAGTTTGCCAACTGTCATCCTCCCGAGGTACCAGGCGAGTACCTATGGGCAAAATGCCAGTCTTTATGGTACCTTTGAAAGAGTAGCTATTGACATCGTTGGTCCTTTATCTCCACTTTCTCTGGGGGACATAGATATTATTAACATTAGTTGATTATGCTTCGAGTTTCCCTGAAGCCATTCCCTTAAAGACCATAACTACTACAGAGGTGGCTGAAGCCCTTTTGTCCATCTTCTCCAGAGTGGGCATCCCCAGAGAAATTTTGTCTGACGTGGGACACAATTCACCCTCTGACTTAAATGCAACATCTATACCAATTTGTGGGAGTGAAGCCTCTCTTCACCACACCCTATCATTCCAGCTGTACTGGGAGGATTGAGCGCCAGCATTCGATTCTAAAGTCAATTTTAAGGAAACTTTGCTCCCTTAAACCTAAGGAGTGGCATGTTTTCCTACCCTGTGCTTTGTTTGCCATGAGGGAAGTTCCCAGTGACTCTTGGGGTTTTCACCTTTTGAACTTTTCTTGGTAGACAGCCAGAGGCCCATTGTCCATCCTTCATGACTTATGGACTAATGAGGAGGTAAATGCTGAGGTTCAGTCTTCTTACCAGTTTCTCCTTGACCTTAGATTCAACTTGAGGAGACCTCTGACATAGTTTCGAAAAAAATTACGGCTTGTCATGGACCGTACAAAACCTATTTTGATTCCAAAAGTCAGAGGAGAAGTTTTAAAGTAGGGGATGAAGTTCTTGTACTTTTGCCGATCAAGTTAAGTAAATTATTAGTAGCATGGAAAGGTCCATATAAAGTATTAAAAATTTGTGGGAAAGTTAACTACCTCATAGAAGTCAAGG